TTTCTTGGGGAGAAGGTAGAAGGGTCGGCATTCCTCGAGTATCTTTAGGTTACACAGCGCCGACCTGCTGCGAAGGATGTCACCTAGATGGGTGATTGGCCTGTGGAGCCACGCGCACAATACACCTGGTTGATTGCGCGAGCTGAACTGGTCCGTGATTAGCTCTTCGGCTCGGCAGGCGGAACAGCTCCCTCTTGCGGCATATGCCACAGGTGGGGAGTGAGTCACCGTTTTCGGAGTGCCGGCGGGGTATGGCAGTATCAGATTCATGAGGGAGGGAGAGAGTACCACATCAACAGCATGTGATGTGGGAGATACCGGTGCTGCTTAGCAGGGGCCATGCAAGGCTCGGCATTCAGGGGTCATGCGCTAGTTGTGAGGCACACAGTAGTGCCTGTACCCCCCCGCATGGAGAGGCCATTTTACAGGCCGTCTCGCAACCGCCCTCGCACCGGTCTTCCATTCCCTTTCCCTAGAGCTTCTCGCTGACCTGAGCTGTTTTGTTTCTCGAACGGTTCACGCCACGAAGAATAGATAGCAACGCGCCATTGGGGTGTGAGTGTGCCTCAGAATCGGGTAGAATAGGGAGGCCCTCCAGACCCTCTGGTTGAAAGCAACACTGTGGATTTTTGAGGTTCACCACCTCAATTCCCCACACATGGGGGGGTTTCAACTCTGAGTCATTCAGCCCACGGGTCCCGGCCCCAAGGCGCAGACACCACCGTCCCGTCCGGTCCAGGAGCTCCGAGCAGACCGTGAGGTGGTGCTGGCAGCCGCCGGGGCACCAGGAGGGTGGAAGGACCGACAGGCGACACCAAGGGATCCGTCTGATCGCTCCTAGTAGGATCCTGGCTTTGAGTCGCAAACCGGGGGAAGATGAGGATCCCCTTCAGATGGTGGGCATGGTGGCGCTCGATCTGTCTCGTGCATTGGTTCGGTTCGTTGATTCTCAGATGCTTCGATGACCCGATCGGAGGCGCCGCGCCGCGCCGATCCGCTCCGGCCCGAGGTGGACGCCGATCCCATGGCCTTGGCCTATGCCGATGAGACCTTAAAGCCCGCGACCGGGAGACGAAACGGTGGAGACGAAACGGGGCCGGCGACCCTCCAAACCGAAGAGCCGCTGGGAGGGATGGGAAGAACGGGAGCCCGGGGTCTGAGTCACCGCGAGTTTCGCCACGGCGGCTTGCTCAAGAAGCTCAGCCTGGTGATAGAGGGATGTGTGGTAATGTAGACTCTTGATTACTCAGCTCCTTCCGTGCTTTGATAAGCTGGATTAAGACCGCCTTCACTTCATTTCGGAAGCAATGTGACTTTGTTTTGCACCCCGGGAAGCATGATGCCCATTTCAATTGCACATGGGGGACAACTATGCCACCGGGCGCGATTGTTGGTGCATCTTTTTTCCGGTCGCAAGAAGATCTGCGCTTCCTCGTCGATGTTGGACAATGCGTGATTAAAGCTGGAATGCATGCATGGGAGTTTGCTTTGTTCGAGTTTTCGTGACTTTCCTTTCTTTGTGCGTAGCGACTTTTTCGTTGTCGTTTCAGTGGAAGCTGGCGACATTGCTCTTGTCTCCGGACGAACCTTCCGGAGCGCGTGGGGTAGAAGAGGATTTTCAACTCAGTTGGGTGGGTTTATTAATCAAGAGTCTACATTAATTACGAGGCGAGCTGGTAGTGCCACACCCTAGTGAACTCAAGGCGCTCAACGGCTCGACTGGTGGAGGGACAGATGCTTTTTGGTTAAAGGGGGAAGGGTTAGCATGACTTACTATAGCAATTGACTCAATTCCAACAAACACAAGAAAGACCAACAATTCTTGGCGCACGCCCATGCATCATGAGGCAAATGCATCCAACATAGCCCCTTCTCCACCCATTTCCTCACATGTCCGCCCATCTGCTCCAGGGCCGACCGAGCGGTCGTCTTCCGGGCGATCTCACAGGAGACGCTAGATCAACTACGGCTTCAACACTATACTCATGACATAATGGATGAACTCGAGAGCTAGTAGAGACTGAACTACCTACGAGTAGTATCCAACTACGGTAGTATCCAGGTATGGATTTTGGGATCGGTTTTGCATACTGTGCATGCTTTTGGGCCTTCAGAACCGCTCTCGCGAGGATGGCATGGCTTTAGAGCACAGCAGCGATGCGCTCAAGGCCGCAAGACAGACATCGCGGATGGTCAATTTTGGCCTGAAACAGTCAACCTACAGGGATAGCTGGGGCACATTTCGATTTGAAGGCAATGGATAGAGAGAGAGAGAGAGGAAGAGGCGGAGATATTCAGAAGTGAACTCTCAGTCCAGAGGGCTTTCTCTCTCCCAGCGACTGTGAAAAAGGTTGGCTCTCCGTCGAAAGACCGTCCAGTCTGGTGGCCAGGGTCATGGCCGGGTTGACGTCATGGACGTCAGACCCAGACCTGGAACCCCAGTCACAAGCAGAAAATGACTGGATGTGTCCACAAAACAACCACTTGCTATGTAAAGGACCTTCATTGCCATATTGGAACATCCAATTGTTTCTGGTTGTGACCGGGGTTCCAGGGAGGAAAAAAAAAGAACGCCAGCCCCAGTCATGACCCTTCATTTCAACATGTACTTCACCCCAGACGCCTGCCAGTATGATGTTTAGACCCAGGCCCATTGACGCACATCTCAGCCGTGACACGCCTCCAGGCGGACCGCGACATGGTCCTGGCCGCTGCGCTACGGAGCTCGGGGGTCCTGGCGCCGGGAGTTCCGGGTCGGCCAGTGCGCATGTAGCCCCCCCCCCCAAAGAATAAGTGACACTCCGATGCAATATAGGAAGAGATGGTTTTTGCAGGAGTGGATTTGGGGGATCCATGTCTATGTCTATATATTTGTATTTTTCGGGAGGCAGTTCTCCAGACTTTCTGCGGCCCCCTGTGTCTTGAGGTCCGGATGCCCTGCGCTTTGCGACTCCGGAGGTGAAGGAGCGCGGTGAGACCGCCGGCCATTTGGTGGGTCAGTGGGGGTGACTGTTTCTTCGCACGCGGGGTGGATCAAGAGGATGAGGTGGCCAGGCCCGACTTGGGAGATAGGGAGAGCCTCCTTTTCCACTGTGGAACCCACAGGAACTTGCAGATGAGCTATCTGGGGATCTCATCTTCATGCCTCTCAGGGTGAAGGTGATGGGATTTTGTGTGCTAGGTCAGGAGGCACTGTCAGGGGTCATCCAAGACTTTCCTGCAGCATCCTGCAGCGTGTGAGTTGGTTGTGGCACAGCCCATGACGCGAGGCCGATGCAGGCCTGGTGGTCTTCTGAGCCTGACGTGCACAGAGACGCGTCGTTCGATCATGGCAAGTGATCATTGGTCTGATGGAATCGTTTGGACCGTCACATAAGTTGGACCCAATCGACAGAAAAGGAATGCAAAGTTCAAATGGACTGAGCTGTGTCATGGGGAGGGCAAGGCCCAAATGTACGGTGAATGGCCCAGTGAATGGCTGCCTATAGCAATAACATGGACCTCTGACTAACCCTAGGCATTTTTGCAACTTGTGGATCCTTGTTCGACATTGTTCCTGACTGCTGGAGGATTCCATATTGATCATGTTACTGATGTCCAAAGCCGAGAGCCCTGCCAAACGGCAGCTCGCGAAGAAGGCAGCCAGGGATGCGCCTGTGAAGGGGTGAGGGCTGGCAACTTCAAAGAACAGGAGGCCAAAAAGTCCGTCAAGGCCAGTTCTAGAGGTGATTGATCACGCAATGTGGACTCTTGATTGATCACCCCCCCATGAAGTGCTTTTGCTACTCAATTGGGGGATTTTGATTATATATAATCCGCATTCAGCACTGCGCGAGCCGTGCATGCCACCTCGATCGTCCGCGAAATTGATTCAACATTCTACGTTCACCATCATTACACTCCCTGGACTGGAATGATCACAGAAGTGACTGAAGTGGATCGCATGAACCCCCGATTTTCGATGACCCTGTGGTGCCATCCACTTTCGATTCCAAGGAACCCAACCCACCAACTCAACCCGTTTTCCTCGCACCTGGCGCCCCGTCACCGCTGCACCGTGGCGCTGACTGCGGCGCGCCGCGCCGCGGCCGAAGTCGAAGACATCGGCGGACTCTGTGGCGGTCTGCGGCGGCGCAAAGAAAGGGTTTGGGGTGAACCGGCGGTCCCGGGTTCGGCTCGGCCAGTCATGTTCGGGCTGTTGGACTGGCCAGACTCTTTGGTGAGTCGGGTGAGGCTGACTGAATGAGGGATCCATCAATGATTTGAGGTGACCCCAAAAAATGCAGGTGTCCAAAGTTTCTGGTGTGTATTTGCGTCATTTTGTTTCGGTGTGGTGTGGTCAGTGGAAACAAGAGTGGGCATTCAGGTGATTCCGAGGTTCTGCATGGGTTTCTAAGGTATAATCTTCCGTAAGTAGTTTTGGTTTATGCATGGAAGGGTGAGTGTGGACTTGGCTTCTTGTGGCGAGATGAATCTGAAGTAAACCACTACACTCTGAAAGTCAAGGGGTTTCCTTCAGTGATTGCACTTGGGCTGTTGGGCGGGTTGCTTTCTGCGTGCAAGCGCCGACCGGAGCCACGCAGCGCCACGTTTCCCTCAGCCCTTTGCACAAAGGCTCCCCCAACCCCCGTGGTGCTCAGAAGGTCTTCAAGGGGGTGAGTGACGGGCTGTGCATGGCGCCACCATCGGACCGTTGGGATTTGGCTCAACATATCACCAACAAGGAGGGTCTCCGGAGTACTTGGGCCACTTTTTGCTGCCCAGTTGTCCTTTAAGGTTCGCTGTTGCGCCCTGACCCTACCCCCCACAAAAAAGCCAAAGAAGTTACAGAAGTTATCCCATTTCTGACCTGCATCAGCTTTTCGTTGGACATTGGGGCCTTGTTGCACGTCTTTCAGCTTGTTCGTCCCCCGCCTTTCATCCCTTTCGACCTTCCATCACCACCCAACCACCCCGAGCCCCTCGGGACCAAGCAGCTGACCAAACTAATGGCTAGGTACCACCAGCCTGCACACCCACCCCGTCCAGACAGCAGTGGCGCTATGGCAGCCAGCGAGCTGCTTGAAGAGGTTGGAGCCCGCTCGGCTGGACGATGGATGTTGGCGGACGGGCCCATTCCATGGTGTTCCGTTCGGTGAAGACCAATGCATGATTGGACTCGTTCGCTTGGAACATGGCAGAGGAATTCGCAGGTTGGAGGAGCGGATGGTCAAAGCACGAAAAGTGCTCCCCGGGTGCCACTATGCTCGCCTCTTCGGAACCGACCTCGTTGATGGGCCATTTGGCAGGAATAGCTGGTGTGTGTGTGTGTGCGTCCCATTGCCAGGAGCAGTCGGTAGAAGATGATCACTATTTTTCGATAGGGCTTTACTAACGATCATCCAGTATCTGGTAGTGGTACATGCCTGGGGAATAGCAGCTGTTTGAATCTTCCTGCCTACTCGACTGATAGCCAACAAAGTACCTCAGATGGTGGAGGACAACAGAGCGTGTTTCTTTGTCGGCGTGCGATGAGAAAACAGGTCGTTTCATTCATAGTCCTGTTGGATGTCCAACTGCTCGAACTATGGGGAGGGGAACCAAGTTGTCCGGTGGCATGGCGTTGTGAGAGTGACCTCATACCGACGGGACCTTGCGGACCTTGGGGTTATGGCACGATTGACCCACCAATGTGTTGGTCGTGTAGCGAACATGGTGGAACAGGGCCCCAGCTGTTGACCCATCCCCATATGAACTGGTAACATCTGGTAACCCAAAGTTCTTGGGTGAATGCAGAAGATCCTCAACAAGAATCTGGAGCGCAAACTTCATAAGTATCATGTTGCAGGATGCTGCAGGATCTAGCGACTGTGGCCCTGTTCGGGCCCCTGTTTGTATCCTGTGGCGCCGGTGGCTCTACACACTGATCTCACCCTTCCGTAGCTCCCATAGGAGTTGTTGTCACTATAGACACTTCGGGCCCAGTAGTTGGGCGTGGCACCCCGCCCGTAGCTCCCGCCAGGCGCGGCAGGGTCTGGACGAAGGGCGGCCAGAGGTCTTTCAGAAGGCCTCTGAAGCCTTTGAGCTCTTCCAACGAGGCGACCGCCTTTTTTTGGGGGGTCTTCTTTTGATCGTCGACCTTTTGAGGGCATGGGTGTTTGTTTGGAAGAGTGCCGGCGGGGGCGTTCTGCTTCTCATCCTTTTGAGTTGGTTTTTAGATGTTTTTTTTTGGAGCCGTCCATGGGTTCCAAATCCATCCAAGATGGACTTTTGATGCCTTCCCAGGCCAAGATGATGCTAGGGCCAATGATGCCTTGCGCGTGATGATCAGCTGCTGGGCAGATTTTGGAGGGTGGGTCGGGTGGGAAGCCGAGCTGGACGTTGACGAACATGCCCTCTGAAACCGATGTCCACCGCTGAAGGAAGGACGAAGCTCCAAACCATCATCATGAATCCTTGGTATGAACCGCTCAGACCGGGTAACTCCCCAGAACCGCCGCCCACAGCAGAGAATGGAACCAATGTTTGCCCCCTTTGTTGTGACAGTGATCCGCATCATTCCGCTGCCAAAATGACACGTGAGTTCCATGTTTCAACAGCTGATGGAGCCTGCTGCTAAGGTGAGGACCTACTACATAGAGGAGGGGTATTTATTTTTGGATTTTTTTTTGTTTCTTTTTTGGATTTTTTTTGTTTTTCGTGGCTTCTGGCTTCTGGCTTCTGTGGCTTCTGGCTTTTGTGGCTTTTGGCTTCTGTGGCTTCTGGCTTTTGTGGCTTTTGGCTTTCGTGGCTTTCGTGGCTTCTGTGGCTTTTGGCTTTCGTGGCTCTTGGCCTATCCATCTATCTGTCTATACCTACACAAATACATCGTTTAAATCTAACTGCACGTTCGTCAGACCTACTACACAGACCTACCTAAGCCCTCCCTACTAAAGAGGTGCCCTCACTGAGCTGCGTTTGATCCCATCCGACCTGGGCGGCCTGGCAGCTCAGGTTTTCAGCATCACCAAGCCGCGGTGAAAGAGAGGCGGAAACCGGTGGAGGCTCTCCAGCTGGTCGAGGAGCACTTGGTGACTTGGCGGACCCGGCGGACCGGAAGGGGTGGATGAGTACTGGAGGTGAGGAGTAGGAACGAGCCTGAATGAAAGATGGTTTTCGGAGGGCTGAGAGATGGCTTTAACTGTTTTTTCATGGTTTTTCTATCTCTTCGTCGGTCCGCTGAGTCAGTGTCGTGCAAGCGCCCCCCGGGTGAGATGTCCAGTCATTCGATACCCGAACGTTCGGGCCGTGTTCGCCAAGGCAAGCGCCCGTGCAAGCGGCAATCGTGCCAGGGAGGCGTGTGTGCTTCTCTCCCTAGCAGATGCTCTGGCTTAACCAAAAGGTTGGTGCTGCCGTTCTGGGGGTGTTCTTAAAATAAGAATAAACTGCCCCTGTGCATTTGGAAGGTGAAATGGCACTACTGCATCATCTTTCCAACGTAGACGACGTAGACCTTGCAAACCTCGAACTGCAACGGCGAACTCCTGACCGCTAACTCAAGATTTGAAGTAGCTTTGCGAGAAGATGCCGCAGGTTCCCTGACCTCGGAAAAAGCTCATTGTAAACCGCGATATGTCATGTGACCATTTTTCCTGGTCTACACACCACACCCCGCTAGGCAGGCCCGGAAAATAGAAAAGACATGAACGTCTTATGCTGGATCCCACGGGCCAGTGGCTTTTTCAACATCCTCGTGCTGAGGAAATCAACATGGACCGCCGGGGGCAGAAGAAACGACAAGAGGCACTGGAGGTATGCTTGCAAGCCTTGCGCATTTTCCAGGACGGGAGAGCTAGCATGTGACTTGGATTCCGTCAATTCCCACAGTACTTGGCTGAAACTTTGGCGCCGCAACTCGATGCTCATTTGGTGATACCTGGTCGGTCCTTCACGCTACAAAAGGCCCTGCCCTGTGCTGGTTCCCGTCTTCACCCTTCCCTTCCACTCGCACCTGCGCGCGATGCACCAGCGCTGCCACCCCGGTGGGTGGCACATGGATGTCGCACGGGTGGCACCCCACGAGGAGTTGCAGGATCCCCACGAGGCTTTGGCCCAGCTGATCCTCACGAATCTCTACTTCAAGCTCGAACGCCCGGACAAGGCTCAACAGGCTCCACCGCACCCGGTCATGGTTCGCATCGCGCTAAAGCATAGATGCGCAGGAGGATATGCCCGGCAGGTTGGCAGAAAAGGGGGGCGACGCGCGAGGAGGTGAAAGTCTCCAAGACGAACATGGAAGTGAAAGTGGAAGTGAAAGGCATTGTCCCTGGAAAGGCCATGCAATCTAAGAAGTCTAAGACCATGAAATCCTCTGCAAAACAGGGGATGTTTGGGCCGCACTCCATCGCCGCCCTCGCCGCCGGAGGCGGCGGCCATGGCCGTGGAGCTTGCCGGGCTCACGGCGGAGCCGGTGCTTCGTGCCAAGGCACTCCATGCGGGTGCGCTGGCACTGGCAGCACAGCACCGCTACGCGGACGCAGCACAGCAGGTGCCTGGTGTTTGGTCTTGGTGGGGTCTGGTGCCCAGTGTCGGTGCCTGGACTGGGGTGTGTGAAGAGGTGACTGATGTCCAGCTTTCGCAACAGCTGTGTGGGTGGTGGGTCACTATGGGGGCAGCTTCTTGTGGAAAGGACTGGAAGTTGGAGTCCACTGAGGTGGACACATAGACATAGTACACAGCGTTCTTTTGGATGAAGAACTTCCAGTCAAGTTGGAGGCCTTGTGGTGTCGTTTTCTCCCGTTTTTCTCCCTCCTTCTACACCGGAAACCCCGGGTGTACCGATCTGCAGGCGCTGGAGGCACGTGGGATCTTCCATGAGGAGGGGAACGTCAAGATGGAGGACGGGACCTCGCCGGGAGGGGTGGATGGAAGTGGATCGGGGACCCCAAAAAATGGAACTTTCACCCACACCTCCAAGAAAGGGCGTTGATTGAAGTACGGCAAAAAGACTTCAGAGAGCCTTTTTTTGCGGGTGTTGATGAGTGGTTTTGCGAAGTCCTCCTGAAGAGAGAAGGTTTCGACTCCTCTTCCGAATTCCTCCTGCCTGATAGTGTCTCATGACGGATGATGTGTTGATTTCCAATGCCGCTTTTAGTTTTTGGTGTCAGGCTTGTGGCCAGTTGCCTTCTCGCCACGTTGTTCTCTTCTCTTTCGTTTTCTTTCATTTTTGTCGTGAGATGGTATGAGCCGTCGACCAGCTTCTCGAAGCTCAGGCAGCCCAATTGGTCTCCGTGGCACAGTGGTCCCTGAAGGCATCCAAGCCCTTCCAGGCTCCGGTGCCACTCCCATGGGCAGGACTGGGTACTGTAGTGCAAGACTTGTTCCATCAATTTGGCAATGATGTGCCCCAAAATATCCCAAGCGACGAGGGTTGGAACCCACCAAGCAGACAACTAGGTACTAGGTCCGTAGCTAGAACTATAGTGAGCGAAGGGAAGAACAGAAGACTCAATGTAGTTCCCCGAACGCTTGGTCGGTGTTCTGCAGTCTTTTTTCAGAACCAACCGGAGTGACTGTGGTGCATGAGTGTGCACACGCTGGACGCAAGAATGTACAAGAACACCTCCAAACATCCTACTCGTGGCCCCCTGTTCTGCTACTTCAACAGTAGTGGATTGAGAGCAGATGGCACAAGTTACCCCAAGTTTGGTGGTTGATTTGGCTTCGGGTTGGTTGGTGCCATCTACTCTAAAACCTGTGATTTGCTCTTGGTTATGTTTACCTGTTTACCTAATGGCATCGCACCACCTGGTTGGTTCCTACCCTTGGTCATGGTCGACCATCGCCCTCGCCGGCTTTTTCGAGGCGCTCGGCGCAGCGGAAGAGGCACTGAAGATCTTTCGCGGCCTCCGCTACGGCAAAGGCCGGGGTGGACGCCGGGGTCGGGTTGGCCGGCGGACCTTCAAAACTCTCAGATTTGGTTTAAAGGTGTTTGGGGGGAACACCTGCAGGAACCCCATGGCCCGAAGGTGAAAACCAGGCCTTTCCTGTAGATTGTCCCTTCCAAATCGGAAGAACGGGTCTCCGGTGGTTCTCCCCTGCAGGTTGGCAGGTCCGTGCGCTGGGCTTCCTGTGCGAGGCGCTGGTGGAGCTGAAGCAAGCGCCAAAGGCTGCCAAGCTGGCGAAGGATGCCGGGTGTTTGGGGGCATGGCTGGAGGGGGGTGTTTGAGGCATTTGGGTAGGGCGGATGTTTGGCGTTGAGTCACCATCTTTGGAGTTTCTGTCCATCTTTTTCCGTTGCTATTCACGCTTGGGAAGGCTTTTTGTCCTTGAGTCTTGGAACAAGAAACTGGTATAGGTTTTTATGTATATATATATATATAATACACGTGCACATGCAGCGGCAGAGAGAGAGAGAGAGGGAAGGAGAGACACTAGCAATGTCAGAGTAGATGGCACAGCTTCAGACCCTTTTGACACGGTGATTTTCAAGTAAGAATCGTCAAAATTTGGGTTTTGTTGCCACCTACTCTTGTAAGCACTGTAGGCCTGTAGGCTGTAGACAACGAACTTCAATGAGGTGTAGCACAGAACCAGCACTTCCTGCCCAAGTCCCTGGAGGAACTCGAAGCTGAGTTTCAGCAGGCGCAGCGGATCTTGAGAACATTCGCCGCCCTTCGAACCGTATATATATATATATACACAAATATATATATATATATATATGTGTGTGTGTGTGTCTACACATAACTGTAAACTTTATACATGTACACATAAACTTCCTTAGTCGTCAACTCCAACCTATTCATTATTGACCCCCCAAAACCCTCGATAAACGTCTTGAACTTTTAATCACGTTGAAAAGTGATATGATATATATATATATATCATTGGTAGAAGAGTCTTCAAACAGGCCTGGCACGTACCAAGTACCGAAACATGTTATTCCCAAGTCACATCAAATCCACGAGGACGTTCTCCATCTCAGGGGATTTCTTCCTTCCAAACTGTGGCCAAAAATCCAGGGCCAAGGGGGCAGGTGTCAGCGGCCCTATGGAGCGACCATCCTTTCTGGACAGAGGTGTTTGTCCCCCCCGATCGTACCTCTCCCCTCTTCTCGAGGCCGGGGACTGGAGCTCAGCGGCTGAAGCCGCGGAGTTGCAGAGCTATGCATGGGCCAACACGGAGAAGCCTGAGAGGGCCATGGAGCCCTTGGAAGCCATTGGGCGCCGAAAAGCGGCCGCCGAAAACGTCGCGAAAGACACGACCTGGTAAAAGAGAGGTTCGTGGGCACCTGGGTTTTGGTAGTGCAACAGCCTTGACTTAAAATTTTATGGTTCTTCGGCAAATCCTTTGAATAGAGCTATTGAACCAGCGTGTGGCCAGGAATCGGCAGGGGGCGATGCAAGCATCGCTGCCGGCCGTCACCGGCGAGGTTTCGGTTTCAGGTTTCGACGTCCAGGCCAGAGGCGTTGGATTTGCCCCAGGGCGGGACCTCCACCTTTGGGGAGTGATTGGTGGGTGCTACGGTGCCATCTACTTTGTTGCTTTGGAAGGTTTACCCTCCAACTGATGGGTTGGCTGAACCGGGTGGATTGAACGCGGCGATGAACGGTGATGGTGGCACGAGGGGTTCTCGTTAATTTTTTTCTGTTGCTGATCGCCTGTTGTTCACTCATGAAACATTTGGTCCGAGTCCAAGTGCCATCAATGTTCGAAGTAAGCACTTTTGGGAAACAACAATGATTCTCGGTGGTTTCTCCCATCCTGTTGCAGACCAGCATGTAGGCCTGGATTTGGGTGATGTTCACACAGGGACCTGATACTTAACATGCACAAAGAACCAAAGCAGGAAAGCTGCTCATTCGTTGTACGATGGTCGGACCTTTTGTGCGTTCCCGATCTTGAGAATGTCAAAAGCTTCCCTGGCACGATCTTGAGAACTTTGGCTCCTTCAGGACATTGAAGAATTCAGCACTGGGAGATTCTCAGCCCTTCACACCTGAAGATACCTTTCAAAAAAACCTGGAACAAGGACGCTACTAGGGGCTCCTGGCCTTACTACTAGGAACAAGAAGCTACTACCGTAGGGGCTCCTGGCATCGCTACTAGGAGCAAGGACGCTACGAACGGGGCCTCCTCTCCGCTCGCCGTGGGCCGCGCGACCCGCACGACGACCTCAGGCGGCGCGTGAGGCAGCGCAGGACCAGAAGGGCTGGGCCGTACGGATCCTCCAGGCACGGTACGATGCAGGGCCGGACGGTGACCCGACGAATCAACGCAGGACCAGGGGGAGCGGGATCGATCCGCAGCCATGAGACACTGGGCGTTCTTAGACTGGGCAAAACCTCAAACATGGTTCTTACAAGAGTCCAAGATCCTATAATTACTCCTGGCCTGGCTTCCTGTTCTGCTAGTACATGCGGTGGATTCAGAATAGATGGCACAAGTTACCCCAAGTTTGGTGGCTTTAGCAGTGGACCCCAAGGTGGTAACAGTCATCTGTATTCATCTTGGGTGCCAGTGCCATCGAGCCTCTGAAACTACTGTAGGTTTGTTGGGAGTGCATCCCGTGCATCCCCCTTAGATAGTTAACTGGGTAGTACGGATTCTTCATGATTCTGCAGATTCTTCCGTGGTGTCATGGGCTACTGTAGGTGCATCCGATGTGATAAGAGCCTCCCAGTTGTCGAAGGGTGTTTCCGCCTGCCATTGAAGGATGGGATCATCTCCCCGGGATGTGCCGAAATGTGCACTTCGACTCAGGAACATGAAAGTGGAACTTTGTCAAGGAAGAATTCTGGATTTTGTCTTGTAACGTCTTGTAGTCCTACACAACCTGGATAGATTTCGCAAAAAACAACCTGCTGATCACACCATTCGGACCCGTAATTGAACTCTTTTCTGATCCTTAGCCCGATCTCCCCTTGGGCACCCTCCCACATGCAGACGTCCAGTGCCGTTCGACACGTGATGGCTCGTCCGAGTTTGGGGGCGCCCGGCCCTCCGTGACGCGTCCGAGTTCAAGAGGTCCACACATGGAACCTGAATTTCCAAAGGTCCATGCCATCAGGTCCTGTGTGGGTCTTGGAACCCAGCTTAGTGTATCGTTTGGGCCCTAATACAGGGATGGCGGCATCCCGGTCGAATTCGTGCGCCCTCGCAGGTGTCTTGAGGGAATGAGTCATGGGTGATTCCCCCCACGACTCAGTGAGTCTCCTTAGGATCCATGACCCCTCCTTCCCTACGAGTCGCACCAATCAGCATCGCAGACTCGGGAATAATGATCCCAGACTAATATATATATATATATATATTTCTATTTTCTACCAGCACCTTCAAAGGGGTCACCAATGGAAGCCCCTACACCACAATCAGGGACCTCCAGCCAGGACACCCCTTCAAGGTCCAGGTAGTGATATGAGAAGTACACCACAACGCCGTGCTCCCAGGGCCAGGCCGTGGCCTTCCTGCACGCGGGCGAGCACGGCGAGGCCCTTCGGAAGCTCCGCGCCTCGCCGTTCCGCCGAGAGATCGCTGAGACGCCCACCGGGGGTCGGTGCGGCGAAGCGCGGCGGTGGGGGGGCGGGATGGGAACAAAGGTCAGGGCACTCAATCGGATTAGCCTTTATATTGGGAAGCCTTTCGCACTTTCCAAAGCATTTTGGAGGGGATTTTACTGGCGGAATCTTTGTTGCTTTGCGTTTGGGTCGGGATCTGGAGTTGATGGATAGACCGATAGAATTGCTAAAGACATGGGATTCACAGAAATGTGCATTTGTCCAGCGATTGGTTGCCCAGATGAGGATGGGTCACAAGCACAATCAGAGCCATTCATAGCCTTCGTATTTGTAAGCGGGAGATGTCTCTGCGGGCAGGTTCCCAAACCTCTTCGAACACCAGCTGTATGTGTTTTGCACCCATTTTGCACCTATCTAGCCACTATACTATGCTACATATGCAGGTTCCTTCCGATGAGCCTTATATAGGGCTGTTTCGGGGAGGGTTGACTGAGGTCGACGCTGTTAGGAATCGTGTTTTATATATCGGCAGACTCAGGTGATTTCCGCGTTGCTTTACCCTGTTCTTCCCTGCTACTTTGAGATACGGACGTTGATACTGGCTTCCAAGGTGCCGCTTAACGGGCAGGGCTTTCTCCTTTAAGCCGATTTAGACGTGAAACATCATCAAACTGGTGAAAGCAGTAACAGACAGTACCAACAGATGCAACAGCAACAGCCAAACAGAAGGGCTGCATAGTCCGTAATTTGAGATCTATCACCACATGTGTAATGGCATCCATTTGTGTTTGCTTTCTCCTGTGCTCGACGCTTCGAGAAAACATCGGTCGACCGAGCTGGGCCGCAGAGTAACTCATCCCAGGACGCGCGTGTGCTGCGGCGCATGCGGAGGGCGACGTGCGGCAGGAGCTGACGACGCTGCGGCAGATCTTTCGGGTGACCTTCGACCGAGGGGACTTCGAGGCAGGTGAGCGGGTGGGGTGGAGTGGAGGGGAGGGGATGATTTATGTTTTTTTTGATTTGCCTGCTGGTTGGCAAACATAATTACCTGGAATATCCTTGATTCAGGTTCCCAAGGGGATCCAGGTTTAGGTGGATCGAGATCATCGACGTGTGCGTTTTGTTCGGAAGTGGTGCTTCATATGGGGAGCTACGTAGCTCCGCGGTCCCCGGGCACAGTAGCTTCAGTCTTTCAGAAGGTTGTTATATACAAGGGGGCTCTGCAGTTCGGACCCTGGTGGTCTCATGATGCGTCTGACCCTGATTCTCAGTTTGACAACGTTTGGTCTTGAGAAGACTAACCTGAGGGTGGATTGGTGATGTTTGTTGCAAATCTGGTGTTTTGGCTTCCCATTTGTTTCAGGGTTCTCAGGGATCTTTTCATGCCGTTATTGTTGGAAGACAACACCTAAACTTAAAACATCTTAAAACCATCCTCAGGCGCTACTTGGCAGAGCGTAGAAAACAAAAAGGGGAGAACTCATGTACTGTATATTTTGCAGTTCAGTCGGACTCACGCATAGTTCAGACGGAGCACCCTGATGAGTATACTTGTCATATACTTGGGTGGATATGGATATTTCATCCCGGCTTCAACTTCGCTTCGCCCATCAGCATCCTCGTTCCGAACTCGTTCCTCAGGCAGCCTTGCAGGCTGCCGAAGATTCCTGGCAGATCTGTGGCCTGGACTATGCGACCGTTCTTTTTGCTTCGAGATGGGTTCAACTGACATAGAACATGAATAACATCATGAATAGTGGTAGACACGCAAGGTGATATTTTTGTATCTCAAATTCTGCTGTCAGTTTCGATGCAATTTCGGCACTTCCGGTGCCCGAGGGCAGTGACCTGAGAGGTCATGTTAAAAAGGTTTCGAGCACGAGACGACTCTAATGCCCACTGGCTCTTGGCAATCTTTGGATCTTCTTGCCCACCATTGTTCCTGCCTCTTTTGGCTTGTAGAACTTCCGGTCTTCTCTTCGTTGGGGTGCTCCAAGTCCGCAACCCGCCGCAACCGATTCCAAAGGTCATGCCGCCGGCGATTCCAAGGGCGAGGTCCGCTCGGCGCTGCGCTGGGCGGCGGCGGCCGCCAACGCGCGGACGCTGGCGGAGGCTGTGGCGAAGGTCAAAGATGCACAGGAGAGACTCGACACTGAACGTGGTGCGGATGCAGCAAGGGGAATGATGGAGTGTGTTTGATGTGGTTGGGGTGCCGCTTGGAATTCAAGTGGTGCTACTGGGCTGTTTATCCGTAAGGGCTCGTATATCTTTTGGTTGATCACAAAAAAGGCGTCACATGGATCATCGCACGCAGGTTCTGGGTGTGGGAGCTGCTATGAAGGTTTGTTCAGTGGGTCAGTGGGGTTGTTGAGCTAGCTTGGCAGTCACGACTCTATGGAAGACATGTCCCTTTTTCATGCATAGCCCCAGCTATGGACAAAGATACCTGATATCTATAGGATATTATAGGATTAGATGTGCCACACCCACACTTCGAGACATACGCAGACTGGGCCACACAGCGTTTCAAGTTGCATGGCTCCCCAATCACGCTAGCATCGTAGATCAAAAGGAGTTTGGGAGCAGGTGCATGGTCCAGAACACCCGGAGCAGGTGGTTCTTGGACGGGACATTCATGGTCAGGCGGGTTTGTAAACCATCCTTATCCTTTGGGTGGTGCTGGTATGAAATGGTGTATTAATGTCAATGGGCCACCCGTGCCATAGGTATCTATAATGACTAATGACTCTGATAAGGTTTTTCAGATTCCTCTCCTTCTCGGGCGCTCATGGTATTCTTCCACCGGCCGCTTCCCTGTTTACTGGGCATTTCGGGGTTTGCCAAGGACGAGCGTCGCGTCGGAGGACCGTGTCGGGGAGGCAGGAATGGCCGAGAGGTCGGGCCGGTGAATTGGCGGTTGATTTGGGCGTTCTTGTGGAACGATACAGGTAACTCATGTAACTATAGATGCAACAGCCTATTGCTGCATGTTTTGCCTGCAATTTTTGGGCAGCCAGATGTGTGTATGTGGGGGTCACTATAGCAGCCATCCAAGCTATATTGTATGTATAATATACAAATATATATATATATACATACATACGTATAATATATATCCCCCAATACTGCACTATATGGCTCCAGCCTCTTGTGTTGCTTAGGTCGGGACCTTTTCGGACCGCCCACCCCAGGGTTTTCCGCTTGGGACCGGAGCATGCGAAGCTTCAACGGCGCAGGCGCAGGCGTTGAAGCTTTTGTCCGAGCTGCGGAAGTTGGAAGGCGACCTGGATGCCGCCCTCCAAGCTGCAGAGGAGCCCCAGCCAACGAGATCTCTGGTGAGGGGCGAGTTGGTTTGGGCTCCCCAAAGCGTTGTTTGGTGTGGAGCCGTGGTTGGTTGAGCTTGCCTGTTTCGCATGTTTAGCAGAGCTGCCCCTATCTCTCTGATTCTCTCTGGAGTTTTCTGCGCGGGTCCAGAGCTTGTGCACTGTAGATCGAAGTTAAAGCCCAGCTTTTGTTTGGGAGCAGCGGGATGGGTAGTACTCACTTAGAGACTCCTGAACCTCCAACCGATGACATGTAAATTCAGGATTCCTGTCACCCCCTGGGCGCGGTTGCTGCTGGTACGTCTCCGACCGGGCCGCCGTGCGGCCGTTGGCCCGTGGCCGCGACGTTGAGGAGTGCTTGAGCCTGGTGAGGGGCTTGGGGGATCTTCTGTGGGAGGCGGAGCTCTTGCACATCTTGGCCCAGCTGAACCTGGCAGATGGTCATCCAGAGGAAGCAGCTCAGGCGCCGGTGGCGGAGTGAGACATCGTTCGTGCGGATGGGGGAGATGCTGGACAGAGAGACGTCGTCAGAAGAGAGATCCCCATGCTTTCCCAAAAAAACGAGGTTCCTGATTTCAACGTGTATTTGCCCGGCCTGTGATCCATGTGGTCTCCGGTCGCTGCAGAACGCCCTGAACGCCCTGGACGGAGCGTCGCTCGGCTCCATCCTCCCAGCCTGCAGGTCGCTGCCGACGGCTGCCAGCTGTGCCGCACCTCTGGGGACCGACCGAGGCTGGTGCAGCTGCTGCTGCTGGCGGTGGAGGTCGCCCTGAAGGACGACGGTGATGGTCTCGGACAACGCCGCCAAGTGTTGCGGTGGTCGGGGGAGGCGCTGGCTGTGGCTGGACACCTGGCGAGTGTGGGAGGAAAAAAGCACGCACAGGTTGGGGAGTGAGGAGGAATGAGGGAATGGGAGATGAAGACAGGTTCAGGACGATTCAAGCATCTCATCACAAGAGCACCAATTGTTAGGTGAAACTGGAGTTCGCCCCGTGCTTGGTCTTCGGAAGGGTCTTACTTTTGATCATGCCATCCACCTCCTCCAACCCTTGGTTCGGAGTCTGCCTCCATGTCACACCTGAGGAAAGCTTGGGGATCGAGGTCTGCGGACCCTGGCGCTCTACTGGCGTGCGCAGGTCCTGGGGGTGTTGGGGCGGCCCGAAGCAGGGCTGAGCTTGGCCAGAGAGGCCCTGGAGCTGTGCATGAAGCTGAAGCACCAGCAAGGCGGGGATCGAGCAGACCGCCCGTGGGGTAACTCGGGCCGTTTGGGCGCAGTGGGATAGAACAGGTCAATCTGAGAGGCACGTTGAGGTGACATATCAATCATATATAAATTTTCCCTACAACAACGCCCTTAGCATTCACTTTGCCAAGTCCATTTGTTGTGATATTGAATTGCCAGTTATATACAATATATATATATATATATACATATATATACACTCATATACATATATACATATCTTACCAATGTGTATATGCATTCATGCACGGCACACATCTTTCTAGAACCTCTTTTCGTGGGGACCCCGACTGGTCCAGTCGCGTGACCCGACGGGTCCAGTCCTCTTTCCTGCGCGGACCTCAGGGGAGCCACGATGTTGGCTCTTGATTGCTCAGCTCCACCTGGCCAATGGCGCCAAGGATGAAGCGCTTCGGGCAGCTGAGAGTGCACAAGCGGTGGCCATGCGGATGAGAGACCTGGAGGCGGAGGAGGAGGCGAATCAGTTCATTGATCCCTGGCGCGGAGTTTGATTTGGTGCAGTCGCATGTGGAGATAAAGGGAGGTTCAGATGAGATTGTGAAGGTCAAGATATGGATCATGAGCTATGAATGAGTCCTACTACTGGTTTCCTTCGCTCACGAATGCCAAATTTGTAGTATTCTTTTTCTCGACTCGAGTGGCATTTCACTTTGTGGGAGTGTGACTATAAACCCAAATCACCGCTTGCCCGTTGGGGATCCTTCCGCCAGCAGAGGATTTTGCATGTCGCTACCGGCTCCGCTCCCCCGCCACCAGTGATTTCTGACCTCAGGAGTCCGTTGATCATTCGTTCGAATAACCCCCTGTCGGAGTTTTCCCTGTCAGTCCAGGACTCAGCGACCCGGAAGAAGGACGAGCCACCACCGGAGCCCACCGCTGCGCCCGCACCGGCGCCCGCGGCCGCGCCATCCGCGGCGCCGTCCGCGGCGCCGTCCGAGGGCAGTGCATCAAAGGGGTTAGATCCGGAGCAGCTGGGCAAACAGCTGATGAACATGGCGGCCAGGCTTGTTTTCAGTCCTTTTAGTTTCTTTTTGGAGGGGTGTGAGGGGTGATTTTGAATGATGAAAGGTTCCAAAGGTCGAAACAGGTGAAGCCTGCAACCTTTCACAGGACCTATACTTAGCCCGGCCTGGCCTCGCTTCTCTTTTCTGTTCTGTATAGAAGCACGGATCTAGCACCCACCGTACTCCTTGATTCAATCCTGTCTATGATCGGTGCGCATATGATTCAGAAGAAATATGGCTCAGTGCGTCCGTCAGACGAACGGAACCGGAGCTGGAGGCGTTTCGCGCAGGGGAATGACATCACCCTCAGTTCACCCAAAGACTTCTGAGCTTCACCCATCTTCACCCTCCAGTTCTTGGTTTTCGGGGTTCTTGTGTGACCAGGTTTCACCCTTGGCAAGCCGGGTCCCACCGCACTTCGTCACCTCCACCGCCGAGGTCAAGGAGTTGACGGCCTCGGCCGAGGAGGTGGAGTTGGACACCGCCTTCGTGGATGCCGGGATGCTGGGCTTGTTGGACTTGTTGGATTGTAGTTTTCTCATTTTTTTGGCTTGTTGTCCCTGAGCCATGAGTGAACCCATGTGAACCCGTGTTTTTTTTTTGCGGTCTGAAAAAACACCACGGACAGCGGTCCGAAGGTGAAACAAAAGAAGGTGAATCCCCGTTCTGAGCTGGTTCTTTTTCCTGGTGACTTCAGCAAATCCAAGGATGGATAGCTTGTCAGGGGTCTCTTTGGTCTCCATGCTGAACCGAGACCCTCGTTGCGAAAAGCAGGGGTGAAACCAGGTGGAAAGGGGGGGCGACTGGAAAAGAACGTGAGGGGTGGAAGGAATTGTTTGGGCCGGGGACGGTGGTGTCCTATTTTCAGCCTACAGGCCTCTTTCAGCCTTTCAGCCTCCTTTCAATGTCAAAATGAATTGAACAGCGGTTCTTTTTGCCGGCCTTTCATGGCTGGATCTTGGCAAGATGGCCGATTCGTACCACAGATTTTGCCAGTTTGGTTGGTGAACCCTGGAATCGGTGGGCCGGACCTTCAGCGTCAGACAAGCGGCGCGAGTCGTCTCACTGGGGCACCGTGCAACAATGCGATGTTCGTGGAACAAAGGCGTGCAGTGCACGACATGCAGTGCACAGTGCTTGGACAGTGATCTTGATGATTTGGAGGGAGTGGTGAAAGAAAGCGAGGCTTCTTGGGGTCGAAGCGATCGAGGCAGGTTGAGATTCAGAAGATTCATCATGTCCACATTTGCCGAGGATTTTCAGGTGGCCCTGACGCCCTCCGTGGTCTTCGACTATCCGACCGTCCGCATGCTGCAGGACTACTTGATCCAAGAAAGCCAAGGATGAAAAAGAAGAGTGTTTGTTGGGCATCAGGATGGGTACCATCGGCATCCATCGGCAACCACGCAAGATGTTATGGTGGGGTGTGGTACTCTGACCAGTTCTTGCCTCAGTTCGGGGCCTTAGCCACTTTTTGGCAGCTCGTGGCCCCGTCTTGAGGCAGATCGACAGGCGAGAACCACAAAGAATTTGTTCAGTCTCGAGATCTTTGGGCTTTCTTTAGATTTTTCAGTCTCCGGATCTCCAGATCTCCAGTTTCAGTCTCCAAAACCACAGACAAATGGTTCAGAACCACAAAGCCAAACTTTTGTTGCTTTCTGAGCGTTCGAGTTGGTCACTCGCACCTTTCAAGTTGGCAAAGGCTCCGTTCAAGAGCCAAACGAACACCGTTTTTTCCAAAAAAGAGCCACCTCATCCACCAACCCATGTGTTTTTTTCTTTTTTGGAGGGTTTCTTTTTGGAAAGGACAGGAAGGATGAAGAATCCGTTTCACAGACTTGGCCCCCCTGAGGGCCCGAGGCCAAGTTTCGTGGCGTCACGCGTTGGGTCCGACAAGTTGGGTTGGGCGCCGCAGGTTCGACGCTCCGTGGCTGGTGTTCTGGCCAAACTCTACCCCCCCGCCGTGTCTGAGAAGTCTGTGGAGTTTCCCAGGGGTACAGAACTCTGAGAAACGGTGTTTTGGGTGGGTGTTTGACCAAACAATGGCAGAGAGAACTCCACCTGGTGGCGACTTCGTGGCGAACACTCGTTGGCGTCCTACCGCTCCAAGACCGTGCTCCAAGACGCGGCCGGCTTTTGCCGCTTAAAGCCGCCATGGCGGAGGCGCTGGCGAAGCAGGTGGAGAAGATCAGTGGGCTGCTCGGAGCATCAGTGATAGTGATCGTGCAGTCTGACGGACTCACATCACATGGTCTTCTTCTTCCCTTGGAAGACCACTTTCCTCTGATAAAAGAGGGCGTGGACTTCACTCCCCCCTTCCATGTGATGTGTTTGGAATGTAGTGATGGCCCTTCTCATCCTCCCACACTGAGTCTCACATGGCTGCTGCAGACTGCAAGTAGTCAGTGGAGGCTCTCAAACAAGAGATGTTGGGTTTAAAGAGATTGGAAGGTTTTGATGGCCTGGTCACTGGTCATTCTCCTGGTGGCACGGAGACTCCTTTTCAATCGGGAGTGAAGGCAGGCTCCTGTAGAAGACCCATAATATCCACTGTTAGAGGTTCTAATATACTAATCCTGGAGGAGGCCATCAGTGTGTGCTCAAAGTTGAAGGTTCATGTTGTTGATGCACAAGCGGGCTCCAGAGAGCATTTGTATGGTCGCCGCAGGACTTGATTATTTAGGCATTTAGGCGTGTCAACCACGGGGCAGGGTGTTCAGCCCAGACTCAAAGTGAAATCGGTGGATCCTGCAACATCCTGCAACATCCATCTGCTGATGTCTTTCTTCCCACCCAGGCGCGGTCTGTCATCCTTACACTTCCTGCAGACCTATGCCGCTCCTGGTCGGCCAGTGATCTTGGAGGACAGGGGTCCCGGCCTTTTGCGGCCGCTCGCCCGGCAGACGTTCCTGCCGTGGTTCCTGGGTCGAGCCAGAGGGACTGAAGGAGTACGTAAGGCCTCGGGCTGGAGCCATGTTTTCCAGCCGTGAGATGTTGGAGTTCGTCTCCTGGGTGGTCCACATCTTGCATATCACGCGAGACAAATGGCACGCGGCTTGGGGACTGAACGTTCGACGTTGGAAGGACAATGAAAGGGGGGTGCTTCTGATTGGGCCGGTTCATTTTTCAACATGGGTTGTGTCGTGTTTCTCTCACACGGGAGCGGTTTTGCAATCTGATGCTTTATTATATAATAAAGGAGTCCACAATATACACTAAAACAGTCAGTCCCGTTCCAGCAGTGTCCTCCAATAAGCCTTGATATTTCCAGGGCCTAGCGGCTTCCTTGCTAGTTTGTGGAGGAACTGATGTGAGAGCTTCTGAAACATTGCAGCCCGAAGATGATCGAATTTCTCCCATGGATGGCATCCACTTGCACCTTATATAGACCTTCACCAATACCTCTCCACAGCTCCAAGTTACATGCTGAGAGCGGCCCGGCTTGGGCCAGACCCTTGGGTCCCCATCACAGACGTGCGACACCTTCTTGAGACGTGCATGGATTTTCATGTATGCCCGTTGGGATAGGGAATTGACAGCCGCCGAGTCTGACTGGGCCCCTTCTTGGATCTGGGCCCCCCCCGCTCTTGGCCCTTCCCTTGTGCCTCTTTGTTGGTCCAGTCTCAGATTTGTTTGGGCGCCGCACCTGCAGCTACCTTTTTTCGGGCTTTGATGGTGGGAAGGGGCACAGGCGAACCTCAGCCCCTCATGCGGCTCAACACGGTGCGCCATGGATGGCACAGGCGTCAGCACAGGCCGATGTCATTCAGGTGACCAAGCAGCTCTCCGCAAAGCTCCGAAGAAACCAATGGCGGCAGGCTTTGCAACTCTACCGTGCAGCCTGGCAGGATGGGTTGCAAACCAACTTGGTGACCTTCAACGTATTTCTCAAGGCTTTAGCATTTGCTTTGGCCTGGGCGAGCTGCTTAAAGCACTTGAGTCAAGCCAGAACTTGTGATCTCATCAGCTTCAATACGGTGGGAAGCTCAGTGAGCCAATGGCGTATCACACTCCAGCTTCTTGAAACGACCTCCATCCACACCCTTCGCCCAGATGTCTTCAGCCTCAGCTCTGCTTGCAATGCTTGCCGCCATCAGTGGCACCACAGCTTGCAACTCCTGCGGCAGGCAGAGCTCTGGAGCTGCCCTCCCAACTGCATCCTTTGTGCGGCCGTCACCAGCGCCTGCGAGCCCACAGGTCGCTGGCATTTGGCCCTCCAGTTGCTGCGGAGAGCGCTGCGGCTCGCGGTCGACGTGGTGAACGTCAACGCGGCGATCAGTGCGCTGGCGGTGGCCGGGCGCCATGCGGAGGCGCGGCAGTTGTTGGAAGCACTGCCTGCCTCAGAGCTACGCCCCAGCCTGGTCTCCTACAACTCGGCCATCCACGCATGTGAGCGTCGCGGGGCGTGGCCTCACGCGCTGCGGCTCCTGGGACGCCTTGGGGCCAGTCGGAGGCGTCCGGACGTCATCAGCTACGGGGCGGCGCTCAGCGCGTGCGAGAAGGGTCGGCAGCCCTTCAAGGCCCTGCGGTTGTTGAGGGAGATGCGGCGGGGGTCGGTTGCACCCAACGAGGTGTGCTGCAGTGCCGCCATAAGTGCATGCGAGAAGATCGGTGCTTGGACTAGGGCTTTGAACGTGCTGTTCAGCATGCCTTCAGAGAGACTGCTGGCCAACGTGATCAGTTTCAACGCTTGCATTAGCGCTTGCGAAAAGGGCAATAGCTGGTTGTGTGCATTCCAGCTTTTTGCAGCAGCTTCCATGAGGGACGAGATCACCTACCGGGCCGCTATAACGGCTGCGTGTCAAGAACTGTGCTGGCAGCCTGCCTTGCAGTTGTTGAGACAGATGGAAGATCTCTGCTTGGAGGTTGGTGCTGAGGCCTGCAGTTACCTGGTAAATGCTTGTGACTCGCACCGGCGAGTGCGGAGTACACAAGCACTCTTGAAGCAACTGGGCCCCTCCGCCATCATTCGATTGAGATCTTTTAGTAAAAAGGGCAGCCGAAAGCAGGTTTGGAAGGAGTTTGACATATATATATATATATATATACGAAAGCGTGGCGACGTGATTGGTGGCCTGGCAACTCATGTCATGTGTCATCTGGATTTGAATGAATCATTGCTCATGGAGCCACTGTCTCCTGCGGTGTGTGGGGTTTCCAAGGAGTCTTCCGCAAGCTCGCTGCGTTGACCGCCACGGCTCGTCCGTTAGGACGTGGTCCCCTCCTGGCCCTGCTGGACGACTTGGCGTGACGAGCAGGGGGAGCCGAATTTCTCGCAGCTGGTGGCCGACTTCAAGGGCTGTGATGGGCCGGTCTCCGATTGCCAGAAGAGGGGCGAGGTGCGGCGCGGGGCCGGGCGCAGGGCCGGTTGAAGGGTGAAGGAAGGTGAAGGGTGAACTGCAGGGTGCACGTCCTGTGGGCACCGCCCGGGAGTTAGATGAAATTGAAGATGAGAACATGGACATGTGTTCTACATTGTAGAACTGTCGACTGTGCCAGTGGTTCGGGGAATCTTGGAGAGGGCTTCCTGGTTTTCATTCTTTTGCTCGATGCCTCTGACCTGCTAGGCGCCAGATGTTTGGGATGTGAGCAGCTACTTGCTCTGGGCGCAAGAAGAGGACAAAGGCCGGGGCTGGGAGGTAAAAAGGTCCCGGTTTGCCGATGCAACAGCAGCAGCTTGAAGTTGTTGAGTCCCTTTTTTGTGTTTGCAGGGTGTTGCAGAACTTGAGCAGGTTCTGACCACAAGCAGTTGCTCTACTTGAAGGATTGGCATCTGGTGCAGGCTTGCCGAGCTGCAGGCAAAGAGGTGCCTAGTCCGTCCGGCGACTCCGAAGCCGCGGCATCCATACCAATTATGTTTCAGTCTGGTTTTTCACTTTTCCGGGGTCTTTGGTTTTCCTTTCCTAAGCCACTTCCATAAAATAGTTCCTCTGAGGAAAAAACACGACAAGACCACGACACCAGGTGTGACTTGCCAGCTTTGATTGAAGAACTGAACATCCAGCCACAAGCCCGTTTTCATTAACACCAGGCAGACCGAAGGATTCTCTTGTCGCAGTTTTTTTTTTTTTTGCGGGCGGTGCTGGAAGATAAAAGTGGTTCCGAAATACCGATCGAACACCCTCTGTGGCAGCCGGTGACTGAAGGGCTCATGTTGTCCACCACTTTCAGTCCACAAAAGCACTTCAAAACACCACATCAGGTAGAGGCGACCTGGACCCCACCTGCCCAGAGGTTGCTTCTTGCGAACGCCCGGGGGACCGCGGGCCCTGCGGTCGCCCAAACCCCCGGCGCCCGCGCCGAAACCGTCCGGCTCGATGCCAGGTGCCCTATGAGGCACCGGCATTTCTGGACTCTCCCCTGCACGACTGGTTGAATCTGCACAAAGACACCGTGGCACCCGGGAAGGTGGGATTTCAGCGGAGGTGGGTGGGAGAAGCGGTTAAGGTGTTTGCTGTCTGGTACGTCTGGATTTGGGAAGCGGGTTTGGGTTCCAGATATTGTATAGGGATCAGTATCAGTAATCCCAGGTTTACCCGCAGAATTAGTAGAAGCATTCATGAGAATGCTTGTGAAGGTGAATAGGTGAGTTGCTGTCTTTGATTTGCACGGACAGCACTCTCAAACCAATTGCCTGTTTGCAACAATTAAAATCTTGTTTTGCTTCAAGTGCCCCGCGTATTTTGCCACTGTTTTGAAGAGTATATATTTTGCACAGGCAAATGCTTGCACATGCTTGCATCCAGAAATGCCATTATAGCGCTTTCGATGTTCTTTGTTGTTGTCAGGTTGCCATAAGAGCACAGTTGCACCCCATCCCACCAGCTCAAAAACGGGATGCTTTAGGAAGATTATCGCTTTTGCTATGTGGGCGTGAAGCGTCC